GAATTTATTCCTTGCTTCAGAAATAGGGCATTTTTTTGCCTTACCGGAGGTATGTTGTGATCCAAGCTTAACTTATGTATGACTATCTTCGTTGGGATGCCTGTCATATCTTCGTGCGACATGTGCTCCGGGACTTCGAACAATGCAACCTGCTCCAAATCTTTTGCCGTGGATTCTGTCGCGTCCGTCTCTTCCGGTACTTGAAAATACCTTGGTACCTAATATTGTTCCGACTCTTCTATCCCCGGATTATCTTCCTCTAGCTCGGGGGCAGGTATCGGTTCCGGTAATTGCTTTGCTGCATGTTTCTTTCCTTTGATACTGGAAACCGAAATTGCATTCATCTCCCTTGCTACTGGTTGATCACCCCTTATCTGTTTGATCCCCTCGGGTGTCGGAAACTTTAACAGTTGGTGATATGTTGAAGGCACAACTTTCATCTCGTGCAGCCTTGGTCTTCCCAAGATGATATTATATCTCATGTCTCCATCTACCACTTCGAAGAGAGTTGTCTTCATTACTCCCTAAGCGTTCGTGAGCAGCAAAATTTCTCCCCGAGTTGTCACGCTTGCGAGGTTGAATCCAGCGAGGAGTTTCGTTGCCGGGATAATGCTTCTGGTGAGTTTATCTTACTCTAATACTCTCCATTGTATGATATTAGCGGAACTTCCTGGATCCACTAAAACATGTTTAATTTTAAAATCCAACACATTTAAAGAAATTACCAGTGCGTCATTGTGCAGCAGCAGTAATCCGTCTGCATCTTCATCCGTGAATGTGATAGCGTCTTCCCAGAGCTTTTTACTATGAGTTATCAATACTTTTGCCTTCTTTGCTGCCGAAAAGGTGACCCCGTTAATTTCATTCCCTCCGAAGATCATGTTGATCGTTTGGCGTGGAGGTTCTTCTCCTGCTTTCGAGGTTTCAGCATTGCCTCTGCTACGACCATAATTGTTTTTAGCTCGGTCGCTCAAGAATTCTCTGAGGTGACCATTCTTTAATAGTGTTGCCACTTCTTCCCGAAGGTTTCGGCAGTCCCCTGTCCGGTGGCCGTTAGTGCCATGGTATTCACACCATAAATTGGGATCCCTCTGGCTGGGATCGAATTTCATAGGTCTTGGGAATCGTGCCTCTTTGATATTCCTTATGGGCGACACCAACTCTACTACACTGATATTGAAGTTACACTCTGATAACTTTGGGTAAGAAGAATCTCGCAACCCCCAGATTTCTTTATCCTGCAGCGATCTATTGTTCCAGCCATGATCTGTCCTTCTATCAACGGTGAACTTGTCTATTATCCGAAAACTCCTGTCGCGGCCTTCTGTCCATTTGTAGGGCAAAAATCAGCCCCTCGAAGTCCGTCTATCTGTGTCAATATCATCTTTCATTTTTTCTTTGTTCTTCTCCCGTCCTTTGATGGCGATGGTAAACCATCCCGATCGTTTTCGATCCTTATTTTTGACTCGTACCGGTTGTGGACATCCGCTCAAGTCATTGCTTGGAACTCGAGCAGACTTTCCTTCAACTTCCGGGAAGCATCCGAACTTCTCGGATTTAAACCTTTGGTGAATGCTTCAGCTTCCCATTCATCCGGGACCGCCGGTAGTAACATCTTTTCCTTTTAGAACCGAGTGACGTACTCTCGCAATAATTCGGACTCTCCCTACGCGATCCTGAATATGTCGGCCTTTCGGGCCTGCACCTTTCTGGCACTGGCATGAGCCTTGATAAAAGAATCTGCGAGCACCTCAAAGGAATCTACGGAATGCTCGGGCAATAGTGAATACCACGTTAAAGCTCCCCTCGTGAGAGTCTCACCAAATTTCTTCAACAACACGGACTCAATTTTGTGAGGAGCCAAATCATTTCCTTTTACTGCTGTTGTATAAGTGGTAATGTGCTCTTACAGATCTGAAGTTCCATCATACTTTGGCACTTCGGGAATTTTGAACTGCTTCGGGATTAGTTTCAGGGCCGCACTCGGCTTGTACGGTAACTGAATATACTTCTTTGAGTTTGGGCCATTCAATACTGGTGGTGCGCCCGGGATTTGATCCATGCAGGCGTTTACTTCCTTCATGAACCGCAAAAGTTTTTCCTTGAATAGATCGTTATCGTTGTTGAGGTCGGATCTACTCCCTCCGGACCCATCAGAGCCAACTTCGCCCTTGGGAGTGTTGTTGTCGACTCTCCGCGTCGTTTGGTTTGCGGGAACCTCGGGAGGAATTGGATCTCGCCTATTCACTCATTTGAAGCACCTGATAGCGCATGCTTTAGTTCCATCATAACCTAATCCTGCTGTATGAGATGGCCTAGAATGATTGCATGTTGCTCTTGCAGGACCCTCACTGCACCCGCTACACGCTCCTCATCAGCATCATCAGGAGTCCTCTCCCGAACCTGTCGAGGGTATCGCCCATCATGCGTTGTTGCGGCGTTGTTCTCCCCATTGTGAGTGTCACAGATTGTATCCTCGAATTGAGGTTGCTCCCCTTAAATTTCAGGGTTGCGCGTGCCGTTAATAGTGTTATCTGCCATTTCTTTTGTGATTTTTGCTAAGACAAAAATAATCAAACTTGTTAGTAAAAAAGGCAAGGATCAATTTAATTACACGGCTATCTAGGCCCACGGTGGGCGCCAAACTGTTTACCCGAAAAACGGTACAGTTGAATTTGTTCGTGATTTCTAGACAAGTGAATTAGTTTGATCCAAAAAGTAATGAAATAACTGATGAAATATGAAATGCATATCCTTAGAATGTAAATGATACAACAGAGCTAATGAGTCTATAAAAAAGTTTTCCGGGCACAACAATGATAAGATCAAAAGTGAGAGAATCAAATTGTATTAAAATGCTATATAGAATGTAATATAAGTTAGCCAGAAAATTCTTGTCCATTACAATGATAACTGAGCTTTCTATTTATAGTTATGTCTAGGGAAGGAAGTCCTAGGATCATGCCCTTCTTTAATGTCAATTATGAGGGCCATTGATGAAGATGTAACGTTAGACATAAATGCTAAATTCCTTGTAACGAGCCATCATCCTTAATGCTGCAAAATATTCCATATTAAATGTTACATGGCGCAAATCATTTAATACTCCTTTTATGATCGTTATTCCTTCCGGTGACAAGCTGAATAGCTATGTTCGGTGGCCATCTCCATCTTGTGTTCCACGTGTCCTTCCTTTAAGCGGCCATGAGTCATGTCGTATTTCTCCCTATACATATTTATAGTCTTAAGTATGCCATAATATTTGTGGCTATAAATTTTTTGAAACATGTATGGTTAAATATACCATAACATTTATTTGACAATAAAAGACTTCTCATCAAGGATAAAATAAAAAAATTAAAGTTAATTATTTTTAAATACAAAAAAATATATTATTTTTGTTAAAACAAAATGGTATAATAAGAAAACGGAAAAGATTCAAATATGCCCCTGAACTATTGAAAATAGAGCAATTATGCCATTCGTTTGCATTTGAGTACAAAATTGCCCTTGCCGTTAATAAAGTGGTTCACTTTTGCCCCTCCCCACTAACAGACTCCACATCAAGGACAATTTTGTACCCAAATACAAACGGAGGGCATAATTGCTCTATTTTCGTTCAAGGGCATATTTGACTCTTTTCCGTATAAAATAATACTTTTTCGCTGAGTTGAAAATACATGTTGGAGAAAAAGTATTCTCTTAAAAAAAAAAGAGGGAAAGGAATGTCTTGCCATATCTTTTACGTAGTAATTACTACAATGACGAAAAATCTCACCGAAAAATTCCTTCGGCCAGCTGATCACAACCTCCTACTTCACTTTTTTTATTTATTATTTTCTTACCGAATCAAATATGTGTGATTTGATTTTTATATTCTTTGAACTCCCAAGTCCTAGCATGTAAGATAACCAAACAATACCCCTTTAGAGGGACTCGAATCCGGATCTGCTCAAAGGATACAATGTCATTGTTCATCATTGGTGTATCCGTAATAAAATGACCTTTTACATTGTAATATCAATTCTTAATGCAAAATCTTATTATTAGAGTACCAAGTAATTAATGGTGAATTTTTTTTTGTTTCATCTTCCTATTTTAATTTGCAACCGCATATCGATACATCCATAAGGTACTATCACAAATTTCACTTTTACATTTCTCTTATGTGGGTATTTGGGTACAAAATTGTGCCCTCCTTTTGTACCCAAATGCAAACGGAGGATATAATTGCTCTATTTTTAATAGTTTAGGGGCATATTTGGATTTTTTCAACTTAGCAAAAAAGTATTATTTTTACGGAAAATGGTCAAATATGCCATTGAACTATTGAAAATAGAGCAATTATACCCTCCATTTGTATTTGGGTACAAAATTGTCCTTGATGTAGAGTCTGTTAGTGGGGAGGGGCAAAAGTGAACAACTTTATTAACGGCAAGGACAATTTTATACCTAAATACAAATGGAGGGCATAAGTGCTCTATTTTCAATAATTCATAAGCATATTTGACACTTTTCCGATAAGAAAATAATTACATATATATTGAAACAAAGGGAATACTTGATTACTTCTTTGTTCTCGTAAAATAATACTATTCCCTATGTCTAAAAAGAATTGTAGAGACATGATTTACAATGCTACTTCTCGTCGATTTCTTAATTCTTTTTAAGATTTACATCATAGAAAAAGCACGTCAGATAGATTAGTGTAACAACAGATTTTGATAATTAGCGAGAAACTCGACAAAGTGGGGTTAACAAAATGTTTGACACTTCAAATATAATACTATCATTTTTTTGTTGAAATTAGGAAGCAATACTATAAATTATAATGAAGTAGATATGAAGTTATGAACTGAGTTGAATAATAGGTTTGAAGCTGTTAAATAATAGGTTTGAAGCTGTTGAGATTATAACAAAAGTACTTCCATAAACCTTTCATACCTCCACTTCCTTTTAGGTGCCTATATTATAGTTTTGTTACAGAAAAGTGAATGCTATAGGTTGAGAACTTTTTTTGGTTTTTCATTCTATATTTGTTTTGGTACTTCAACCAATCCGGATTCGCAAATAGTGTTCTCTATTATATTTTTGGATTTTTATTCAAATATTTTAATTTAAGATATTAAGTAGGCGGTTATTTGAATTAATTCTTGTACATGTTTTTTCATTCGTAGATTAAACACAAATTTTCTAATTAAAAGTGAACGAATTTTATTTATTCTACCATGTTATTAATTGTTAAATTGAGAACATTAGATATGTTAGTATAGGATTCTTAATAAATAACCAATGTCAATTATCCCAATGTAAATTTAATGGGTTTAGCAAATTGTTAGCTGTAATTGTCTGCTCTCTCGGTCTCTCCTAATGTGTTACACTATGGGCAGCAGCTCCAAACTTTCGACGACTTTGTCTTTAGTGACGTCGTGTACACTAACATAGCGGTTGAAAAATGATACGCTTTAAATTGGAAATACGTATAGGTTATTTATACGGTATAATTAAGATATTGCTGAACTCATGCGTTATAGTAGTGCTTATTATATATTCTTTACAATTTAATTATATACACTTATTTGATCAGGTATGGAAATAAAGAATAAATGAAGGTTTTAAAATATATGAACTTAAATATAGTATTTATAATTTAGGTAATTTTAAGACTCTTGGAACTCGTGTTCTTAAATTTGTTATGATATTTGTATTTTTACAATAAATAATCTAAGTTAAATACTTTCAAACTTAATATATAGATGACCAGTTTTTCAAATGACTAAAAAGATAGTGTCAAACATGGACAAAAGGAATATTTTGTGAAACTATCTTTTAACTCAAAGTAGAAAAAAATGAGCAACTTTTGTATAGACCTTGTTTTAACACAAAGTAAAAAAAACATAACTTATATATTTAAAGGCTTAAATCATTTTCAATAAAAAATACGCTTTGATATCTTTCTAATGTTGCTCCTTCTGTCCCAAATTAACTGTCGTAATTTCTAAATATATTTCTCTCAAATTATTTATCATTTTAAAAATTCAAAACAAATTATATTTTTTTTTTTATTTTAACCTGAGTAATAATTATTTTTAAAAATTATCAACACCTCAATTATGAACTAATATTATAATTGTTCAAATACTAATAAAATATAAATAAAGGCAAATAATCAAAAATACCTCCTAAGTAAAAGCACTAACATATAATTTAAGAGGGAGGGAGTACTTTATAGTAGCTATTCGACCGAAGGAACCAAAAGCAAGTTATCTAAGAAAATAGCTTATATATACAGTGGGAAAATCCAGTTACCATTAAAGTATATGATATTATTTTTATACATATATTGTGTGCAGTCGAAGTGTTCCATCTGTTTCAAATTAATAATCTTAACGTCATGACTCATGATTACTATATTGCTTTTGTAAATGTTGAAAAGAAAATCCTATTAAAAAAAGGCAATGAATATAATCATGACAAAGTTACTTACCAAACCAACTTAAAGGGTCACCCGAACCATTATTTGTTTTTGTGGCTAAAAAAGTACCTTTTACCATTATTTGTTTTTAAAATTGATTAACTTCAATTAAGCATCTTTGTAATCAATTAATTATCTATTTAGTGCAAAAATCTATGTTGTCCAAAATATGTTTAAAATTTTAATTATCCTCTGTTCATTCTGGTCTCTGATAATGTTCCTGATTACTGTTCAAGTCCTGCCAAACGAATCTAACCATCAAATACCTGCAACGTAAAAAACAACAAATATAGTCAGTCACAACTTCAAATTTTATAAATCAAAAGTAATAAAATAAACTAAATATGTATATAACTAAAACAAAAAATACGTATGTATATAACTAAAACAAAAAATACATATATACGTACGTATACCGCCTCCACGTACGTGTATATATATGTAATTCCGCAGTACCTAGATACGTATATATTCCACCTTGAAATACATACACGGAAATCACGCATACAACCACGGGACAGATACGGCGTACAGCCTGACCAAACAGAAAAAGAATGGAGAATGGAAAACGGTAACGGAGAATGCATAACGGTAACGGAGAATGGATAGCGGTGAGGAGAATGGAGAACGGATAACGGTGACGGAGAATGGATATCGGTAAATGAAATGGAATTGATGTGATAACTGGTTTGGCGAGTGAAGCAATGGATTATGATAATAAAAAACATTGAAGAAATTGACTCTGAATTGTTATCAATTAAATTAATTTAATTTAGGCCTTACGGAGTTTGATTTTACCGATATATTATCAGAATTTGAAGCTCCATGGACAAAAATGCCAAAAATTGGAGGATTTTTTATGCTATAGTTATAAAAAAAAAATCGTAACTATAGAAGTCTATACACAGTCGGATCTTAGGGCATAGGATTTTCTACGGCTATCTGCTTTACGAATCCTCGACTTTGGACATGACAGAAAGCCGACTAGGTCTATGCTGGAAATCGCCTCGGCGGCGCTGTTGATGAGACGAAGGACGAATCAAAGCGGCTAACGCTCTCTTCACCAAATCACCTTCTACAGTTCCGATTCTCACAAGTGAGTTCGTCATGGCGGACCGCCTCATATGCAACTGATTCGGATTGCACGACGGCGCACGGCTACTGCTTGCAACAATATTCTTATGTAGACTACATCGGAACGAACCTGGATGATTCGTCGGCGAGCACATACACGTCTTCTTCTGACCGCTACTAGGCAAGGATTTATAACTCCGGTTCTGCACCACGTGATTCCGGTTTAAAGCAGAAATAGACCGGCTCGGTGAAGTCGAACGGTCCAGAGAAAACCGTACGGATGACGCCGGAGATGACGACCTTGAGCTGTATAAGTTCACACGGTTCGGAGAAGTTGATCTGTGGAGAATTGTATGTGAACCGGTTGAAAAACCGGAAGTTGAGGAAGCAAAAGCAGAACCGGTCCTTTGACCCGGAGAATAAAATCTTCCAGCCGGTGAAAGTGACCGGAGAACCGGTCCGCTTGACTTCCGAGTAGCCGCCATTGTTGTGTAACTGTTTAGAGAAAGAGCAGAGGAATCGAGAGAAGAGAGAGAAAACTAGAAGAGTTCTTTTCCTTCTTTTTTTTCTAAACCCGTTTGGGCTATTTGGTTTGGCAAACCTAAGCACCACTCGAGGTATCTATTTATAGGAGTCCAACTGCTATTTCCTTTTCATATTGGGTTTGGGATACTTCTCCTTTAATTGCGTGGTGAACCCTTTAACTTCTTTGAAATATGTTTTTGGTCCAAATGCATTAACTATAATAATAGTACAGCTAATACTTGATGGTTAAGTAAATCATAAATACACTATATGCACATCATGTCAGTTCTAATGAACAGATATTTCCTTCATAACAATTTGGAATTTTGTATGTCGGTAATATTTGAATCCTTTAATGCTCCAAAATCCAAATTAAGTGAATAGTTAAAAAGTGACAAGAGCTGTGAAAATTTTATATACTATCATATTCATATGCCGATAAAATTACATTATTAAGGATACTTTTTGTTGCAAAAGTTGTCGAAAATTTTATACTATTGTATAAATTGAGAAAAAAAATTCTGTTAAAATTTAATATTTAATATAAAAGGACCAATATTAACAAGAAAAAATTATTTCACAAAATTTATTTAGTAATCTTTATTTGCTTTTAATTCTACATAAATCTGTCTTGTTTAATATTATCATTGGTTTCTTTGTACTTTTGATAAACCTGTCAAAACCCTTTAGCCTAAGCAAATAGTACTCCTTTACTTTCAATTTATGTGATATATTGATTGAGCACAGAGTTTAATAAAAAAATAAATATTTTTAAAATTTATGATTTTAAACAAACCATCACATTTGTGTGGTTATAATTCTTTTAAAATTTGTGACCTTAATTATATTATAGTATTTATAAAATTTCTTATTAAGAATAAAATTAAAAGTATAAGTTAAATTATTTTTAAATTAAAAAAAATATTATTATTTTTAATAAAATAAAAATGAAATAGGTTCACAAAAGAAACGAATGGAGTAACAAAGATAAAAAATATCAAAACTTATTGTGGCACCAAATGTAAATTATGGAAATATAAAAGGGTGAGGATGCAAATAAGACATTTTCAATTCCTTGGGAATTCAATTTCTTGACCAAGCAAGTGGCCACAGAATAGTAGAACAATATAACCATAGTTAAAAAAGTTACAGGACCTAGGAATTCGGAAACCACGGGCTAGGGATAAGCTGATAACTAAACAAAACGACAAGGGATTTTGCCGTTTGATTAACGGACACTGTAGTAGTGGGGGCACCAATAGACTGCCACGTGCCTTATCAGCTTTAGTGACTCACTCTCCATAGATTCCACGTATACATGTTTTCTTTATTTATTTATGTCTACTTCCAATAAAGGTATAATGAATTATTTTTCTCCTTTTCATTTCATGTATATCAGTAGCACAAATTTTTTAAAATGTAACGAATATTTTTAAAAATTTGTGGCTTAAACTAAAGTGGAATGGCATACGCAAGGTTTGTAATAAGTGTTTTCCGTACAAACCGTACAATTAAATTTGTAACGTGATTTATAGATACATAAATTAAATTGATCCGAAAATATAAACTAACATATAGCAAAGTAAATAAAATAAAGACAATTAAAGTAAGAACAAACTCAGGCTTTAGAATGTTCCCACCAGAATCAAAAATAATTGTGAAATCCCAACAACACTTATATAAAGCTTGAGAGAAATTATACTAGTCTTTTGCTATTAGTATATCTTGATGTTTTACAATAGAATGAAAGTCTCTAGAGCTATGAGGTGTATGATTTATAAATTATACCCCCTCAATTATCAATATTAATGTTATAATAAAATATAATTAAAAGATGATAATGAATAATAAAATGTAAAAAAGCCTAATAAAGGCTAATAAAGACCGGAGGAATCTTGGAGTCTTCCGTAATATTTCTATAACGATCATATCTTGAATTGATTCTTATCCGATCACAGGTTCGTATCTAGTTGACTGGTCATCCTTGACACGTGTCACTTCCTAAGTCACCCAACTTTTAAGACTGATTTTTACCGTATACAATAAATAGTGTTAATTTTTTAAAAATTAAATTAATAAATAAATTATTATAATAACCAGCAATGTCATTTTTCATATCTATACTAAATATTTTTAATTTTTATTATTTATATCTATATATCAAGTACTATAATTTTCGACGAATCGGTGTCCCGTAATATTGCTTGGGGTAAGGTATATATATCCGTCCCTGCTAATGTGTATATAAATAATAAAAACACTCTGTAAAATTTTTAGTGTTAAATGAGTCATATCACCCTATAATGAAGCGTTATTAGCATAAATCGAGAATAATTGGAGCTAAAAATTTACAAAATACGAGAGATTATATTTGAATCAAACTAAAAAGAAAATAAGACACAAATTAACGGATGGGTACTTTTTTTATTGAAAAGAAAAGATTTTATTCAAATTTTTAATTTAAATATATCTAAATACTTTCTAAGTCATAACATTTTTTGGTATATTAATTAAAGTCTAAATTCATTAATCGTGTATTTTTGAATTGTATTTTTCGAAACGATATGGGAAGATCATGGCCACTGGTATCATATCAATGGGCGGTGGTCATGTGGGGTTGTGTGAAAAATCTCTATTAAAATTATGACTTTTTTATTGTTATATTTTAGTTATCTGTTACATTGATAATTTAGGACATGTTTTTTGTATCTTTAGGTTGGAGCTCCAATAATTTGTACCTAACCAAAATTTTATATTTATTCATTTTTGTAATGGTGTTAGGGCACAACGAGGAGAATAATAATTTGGACCATGGATTTGCTTAGGGGTGGCAAACGGGCGGGTTGGGTCGGATATAAGCAGGTCGAAAATAGGTAATTTAAAAATGGATAAATTATCTGATACGACCCATATTTGAGACGGATAAAAAACGGATTATTCGGCGGATAATATGAATATTCATATTATCCAAGGCTTCTTGAATATGATCACTTATGAGAGAATTTCTACTCTCCCAAACTTGATAAATTTGAGGTTTTACAAATGTAAAATTTAAAACACATTAGTTATCCATTGGTTATCTATTTGGTTAACTATTTTCTAAGTGGATAATATGGTTCTTATCCATATTCGACCCGTTTTTAAAAAAGTTCATTATCCAACCCATTTTTAATGGATAATATAGGTGCATGGATAACTGTTTTCTTTTAACCATTTTGCCACCTCTATATTTGCTCTAGTGGTTTGAGACTCGTCCGACTACATAAGCTTTTATATTTATTAGTTCTAAAAAACGTTCGAGAGATCAGTATTCAAATCTCAATAAACAAGAAGTATTAGATGATTTCTTCTTATATATGCGTACATTTTGATGGAGAAAGTTATTTGACACATGTACTGACAAAACGTAATAAATACTCGACGAAATAGTCAAAGATGTACACAAATAGGTCAGACACCACTAGCATAAAAAAATTTGGGATGGAAAAACTCCGATGTTACTTTATGATAGAATATATATATTATGGAATCTAAACTGAAATACATGTTGAGTATAGTTTATATCCTGCAAGAGATTGAAATAAAATTGATCTTCAGAAGAATCTCCTACTATGAAAATCATTTATAGAAATATCAAGTTTTATTAAATATGTCCTCATACTTTATGTCTTTTTTGCTCTTTTACTTTTCTTGGCTTTCTACTTTCAAAAAGCAAGAGAGAAAATTAGTGGAATGGTTCCAAATTATATTATTCCCAAAGGTGTGGATACACTACTTTCCCCCCTGCAATTAATTCGAACAAGTCATTGCACGTTATTTCGACATATATATAGTATTGCATACATCGAATAATTCAAGCAATCCAAAAGATACGTCCACCATTCCCACTAAACCTATTTGCTTAGAGGAAACGGCATATACTAGAAAAGCCTTTTGAGTTATTGTTGGCTGCTATTTCACGCACACGCAATATTCAATTAACTCCAAAAAAAACAAACATGATATTTTCATAATATTTCGTGTGACTAATGCCTCCATTATTTTTTCCTACTAATAAATACATTAAGCAATACCACCTTCTAGGATCAGTTAAGGGTAAAACGTTATTCTTTCTCGGATTAGAATTTAAGATATTTAGAAGTGTGGAGGGATCTGATCCATTCCACAACATTCTGGGGCAAAACTATACTTTTGTAAGAGTGGNATATATATATATATATTGAACACTCTTTGTCAGAAAATATTCAAATTTGAACATCTTTAAAAATTTCAGGTTTCACCACAGACGACATTCTTCCTTGGCGGATATGACCACAGTAGCAGAAAATATGCTCTCATTTTTTAAAATGTCTTTTTATTAATTGAAAAGGACCACAATGACCAATAATTTCACTAAAATAAAAGATTTGCGATCGACAAATTGCAAAAGAGATTCGTCTAAAGTTACATGAAAGACTGCTATCTTACACCTAAAGCACGACGCTTTAATTTCCCTTTGTACTATTTTCACTATTATAGTTCCTATATATTGCCTTTCACTAAAAAAGATGAAAGAAAAAGAAAAAGTTTAATTTGGTTTAGAAGATTCTTGGGAGGAACTTCCAAGTCTATAGGGTTACAAAATAATGGGCCAAATGGAGTCTTGACAGTTGACAAAATCGGGTCAACAATTGAAGCTTTTGCTTTGATGGCATATTTAAGAGGGGAGTATTTATTAGTTTGGTTTGAAGAGTCAAATTAGTGATATTGCAACTTCCTAGTTGCACATAGAGTACATTCTAGGGATGGGCGTCGGTCGGTTCGGTCGGTTATTATGAGAGTAAAGTTCAGTTTATCAGTTTTCGGTTTTGTAATATTAATAACCAAATCAAACCAAAGTATTTACGGTTCGATGCGGTTTTTTCAAAGTTCGATTCGGCTATTTCCGGTTTATTTTTTCGGTTATTAACGGTTCAAGATTTTTATATCTTGGATTTACTTCCGGTGATCATAAACTTCCAGTGGTCATAAAATGCAAGAAACTTTGTTCTAAATCAAGCATTAATGCGGATTGAGTGCTTTCAGCTACTCTAATCTAGAA